CAGCCAAAACGGCACAAAAATTTGCATGTTATCATTCTTCCTCTTTGTGTCCCCCTAAAAGCGAGGAATAGGGAAAAGAAGCCAGAACATGCAGTCAGATATTTCTGATCTGAAGTCTATGATTCAACATCAAGCCTAAAACTTGACATTATTAGCTACATTCATTGTATTGTTGAAGTTGAGTTATGCCTAATTTTAGGAACAAAATAAATGGTTGCTTCTCTGTTAGTGTTTGGGGATAAACCACTAGCAAAGTATGCAGCAGCAGTCAAGCCAGGCAGCCAAATGAGAGAGGAAGGGTTTTAGAGTATACACACACTGAACACAAACACTGTTTGTAGTTTAAATAGTTTTTAATCCAGTTAGAGTTTAAGCATTGTCAATCAGTCCGTATGTCATTCACAATATATCCATTCAGTAAGACTTACTAACTCAGTCCAGATAATAGTCCTTACTATATCTTTATCAGCCAATAAAGATATCTTCTCCTCCTCCGATGCCTTTCTCCAGAGGATAACGCTGGATATTCAGTAGAACGATCAAACAGTAGACAGTCGCAGTAAAACAGTAATAAACAGTTGTATCCAGCAGTAAACAGCAGTAAACAGTAAACAGCAAACGGTAAACAGTAAAACAGTAGGCAGTAAGCAGCAAGCTTTTTCCTGCTTCCTCTTATTGCAGTTTCTAACCGCACCCTTAATTGACTAATTACATGCAGTGTGGTGCTTAAAGTTACAAACACTTAAACTATGATACCTTAGTTTATATATTTATCCACCCAAACCTTGTTGGGTATCAATGTTATACCTAACATTCTCCCATGTTAGTGTTGGAAGAAATTTCCTGAGTTTGTTCCCATCTGGGACACATCACAGATGCTGAGAAGAAATGGATGCAGAAGCCAGCTGCCAGAAAGTGGAATTCTTTTAATGTAGGAAGACAAGAAGCAAAAAGTGACACACCTTGAGCATTTCTGGCTTGCAAGCAACTTGGTGGTTGAATCTGAGCCTTTTATGCTCAATTCCCCTTCGAAGTTCCTGCAGCTTGATGGATTTTGGTGGGTTTCTGATTGCCCTGGGTTTTGTTTTCCTGGGTTAATATCTTGGTCCCTGGTCTTTTGTTTTTCCTGTCCCAAGGGTTAATCCTGGGGGGGGGGGGGCAGGAAGAGGGGTTTTTGGTTTACCTTGAAGAGTTTATTTTTAGCCTGATTCCTTTATCTTAATGGCTCTACTTAAGTGTTTGTTACTTTTCTGTTACTTTTGTAACAGCCATTAGTAGGGCTGCTCTAAGTTTTCCTTTCAGCTGGTGCTTCTTGGTTTTCTTAAAGGGGTAAGGGTTGGCTGGAGTCTCTTAGCACTGTTTTCTGAGGTGCTGGTGCTGTCTTTTTGGGTGTACTTCCCACATTGGAAAACACAAAAGTTATTACATTTCAATTTGTCTCCCGCCCTAGGAAATGCCCTGGCTTGGAAGAAAGCAGAAACAAGGAAACATCTATCTTGAAGCAGCTATCTTTTCTAATACAACAATGGAGACTTTAACTGGAATTTGGACAACTTTCCCTGATTTAGCATGCTTCATGATTTCTTTTCTACCAGAATCCTTTTTCTAAACTTATTTCACATTTAGGAAGCTCCTCCTGCATAGAGGATTTACAGGTAGAAGGGCAGCAATTTTTATTTATTTATATTTTATTTTATTCTACTCTACTTTATTTATGCTCCTCTTTTTAAAAGAAGCAATGCTTCCTTCCAGCAATGAATGCTATATTTTACACATTAAGTTTTGTTGGCTTTAATATCCCCCCACCCCAAAAAAGGGATATTAAGCACTTTTAAATTGAGAGTCCAAAATGCTAAAACATTCTTTGCACCCAAATGGAATATTGGAAAGAAATTACAATACGTAAAGTTACTCAAGGCTCCTTTGTTTATCTGTGTGTCAGGATGATAAATCTGAAAACTGAATAGAAGAGCATGAGATCTGCTGTTTGGGGGAGAAAATATGTTTGAAAATGGGTTGGTTAAAAAAATCAATTTGAAAATGTAATTGCAGCAGGTTTAGAATAAGTTTGCAACTGCTATAAAGAAGGGCAGAAGTCACTTCTTTGGCAATATTTTTTTTTCTCTTTAATTAAATTGTTTTCTGCAGGTTTTTCCTTTTTTCTTTGATATATTTCTGTATTTGTTTTCTAGCTCAATTAAAAAAAACTCTTTTAAGATACACATGCACACATATACACACACACTTTAAAAATGGAGTAGATCTGGCTGGAGATTGCAGAGAGAAGAAATTCCCTAATGCATTCTTAGTGTAAAGGAGAGATAGCTCAGCAAATGCTGGAAAAATTAGAATGTTCCATTTAACAGATAACAGATAAACAGAGTTGGAAGGGACCTTTTAGGTCATCTAGTCCAACCCCCCACCGCCCAAGCAGGAGACTCTACACCATTTCTGACAAATGGCAGTCCAATCTCTTCTTGAAAGTCTCAAGTGATGGCGCTCCCACAACTTCCGAGGGCAAGCTGTTCCATTGGCTAATTGTTCTCACTGTCAGAAAATGTCTCCTTAATTCTATGTTGAATCTCTCCTTGATCAGTTTCCAACCATTATTCCTTGTCTGGCCTTTGGGTGATTTAGAACAGTGGTCGCCAACCAGTGGCCAACTGATGGACCGTGAGAAAATTTTGGTGGGCCACAGAGAAATCTCACCCCCAGAGCACCCCCCCAAAGTAATTAATCCAGGCTGTTCAGAAACACAAGGCATGCCACCCACATGGCCCACAGGAACCCTCCCTGCCCACTCACTCCTTACCCGGCAAACTTGCCTGCTAAATTGCTGTTTTTCCTTTTTCTGACCATCATCTGTTCTGCTGTGCCAGGAGATTTAGATTAGCTAGGAAGCAGGAAATGGTTGGATTTCTTGCTTTCTAGCTAGTCTTTAGATCTTCCGCTCTGCTTTTAAGCAGAGCCGAACCTCCCTTAGGACTGAAGGTTCTGTTATTCAGTGCAGAAGGCAAGCAAATTTGAGAGACTGAGCTAGCCGATGGCAGATAGATAGATCACTGAATGATTCTGTGAGCAACTCAATCTGCCTGCCTGCTTTGCCTGGTTTTGGGTAAATGTTGCTCTTTTTTTATAAAAAAAATCAATATTTATATAAATATTTATAATATTTACATACAAGCCATGCCCAGCCAGTCACATGACCACCAAGCCACACCCACAAATTAGGCCACACCCACAGAACTGGTTAGTGGTCCCTGGGATTTAAAATTATGAGTTTGGTGGTCCCTGAGGTCCAAAAGGTTGACGAACCCTGATTTAGAAAATAGCTTGACCCCTTCCTCTCTGTGGCAGCCCCATTTCAAGCCCCTCCACTTTCCTTCAAGGTCATGTGAACCACAGGCCTAAAATTAAAGTATTTATGTATTCAATTTTTATGCCATATTTATTTTTTTTATAAATAACTCAAAACAAATGCACCTAATAATTATTTTTTCTTGTTTTCTCCACAAGCAAACCCTCTGAGGTAGATTGGACCAAGAGAGTGACTGGTTCAAGGACGTCCAGCTGGTTTTTATGCCTAAAGCAGGACTAGAACTCACCATTTCCCGGTGTCTAGTATTAGAAGAAATTTCAGAATCCATTACTTTTCTTCTTTCCCTATTTTCTTAAAAGAGTAATTAACTACAGTTTAAATTATTTGACTTAAAGCACACATTTGTATAAATTTTGATGAAAACAGCCCATTTTTCTTGTCAAGATATATTCTTGGATTCCTTCGCTGAAAAACACTGGCATGAGTCAAAAAATGACTAAAATAAATGACTCAAGGACATTGCAACACAGCATTTTCCAGAGACTGATGTTGCTGATAAGATTGCATGTATTTGGACCAGATTACTTAACCTAAAATGTAATTCATCAAAATGTGATTAGATGACATATAAACTAATACACCCTACATTTAAGATAATGTTTAGCATTTGCAACTGTGTCGTAAGCTACTGCCATATAAAATCATTTGACTGCCTTAGCCCTCACCATTCTTGTGTCCTCCAGTTACATTAAACTACATTACCCCATCCAGCTCATCAGATAAGAGTTGTCATCCAATCATCTCTTATGGTTGATAGGAATTGTCACCCTGAGCTATCCTTGTTTGAGCCCAACACTTTGTACAAGTTAGGCTGACCTGAATGACATGTGAACCCAATAAACCTGGCCAGAGTTAAGTCAACTCCATAGGCTGTGTTCACATAGTCATACTGAAGTGACTAATCATGTTTTACCCTTAAGAGGCTGAATGAATTTGATCAGAGTTAATTTGTGTTTCGATGTTTCGTGCAATTCAGACAACCATACAGTAGCCAAACACCCAGCTCACCTTTCCTGGTCTTGTGAGAGAAGCGGTGTTGAATTTCGGTGATGGGAAGCCTTTGGAGAATTCCAGAACCATAAACTATCTTGAAAAGGCTGGATGCGCTTTTGACTTCAGACCTCAAGCTGACTCAAAGGGCAATCTTATTTGCCAACTCTGAATATGAATGCGAGTCCTGGGAGCAAAACTCCGTGGGTGAGAAAGAGAAGAATGATACAATGCCCAAACGGCTTAGCCACGTCAATCAACGGAAAACTACAACTTGTGAGTCACCAGAATATATATATATATATATACACCCTAATACTAATTCATTCGTTTCAATCAGGATACATTTGGATAGGAGCTCAGGGTTCAGGAGGGCGACTGCCTCTGGGCCTGTGCGCTGAAAAAAAGCTTCCTTTCCCGCCAGACTGTTCCCCAAAATAGGGGGGCCCGGCAGCAGCGAAGACCACCCCCACCCCCGCTTCTTTGGCGGGTAGTAATTTGCCCGCCTCCTCCTCGTGCTTAGGAACAACCCGAACCCGGATTTGGGAGCTGGGCGCAGCCCGACCGCTCCTGCAGCCCACAGCCAATGGGCAGCGGCGAGGCTCGTCCTTTTCTTGAGTGGGTTTCCCCGCCCCCTCAGTGACGAAGGCGACGGAGAAGAAAAGCGCACGGTGGCCGGCTGTTTTTCTCCATCGCGGCGAAAGGCGCAAAGCTGGAGAGACGAAGCGGAGTCGAAAGAGGTAGCTAACGGTTCGCGAGGTAAGGAACGGGAGAGGCGAGAGAGGCTGAGGTGGCTGGGCTCCCCTCTCCTTCTCCCGCCCAGGCAATGCGGAGCAGGGGCAAAGGGGACAGGAAGCAAGGGGAGCCGGGCCGCTTCCTCCCCTTGTGCTTAAGGGCTGAGACCTGTAGCATCCAACCCCGGGGAGCTTGCGCCTTTTTGCCCGACCTATTTCTGCGCCCCGGAGGGATTCCTCTGTTCATTTCAACGGGATGTAATCTCAGGGAACGGCGTAGGGCAGGATGATAGCCTCGGGAGACCCGAGTTTTCAGGTTGTGTTGCTTCTCTGATGTTCTCTTCCCCCGTTTCCGATTTGTGCACATGGTTGCGGGAGGGTTGTGCAATCTACATTTCCCCCATCAAGGATCCAGAATAGAAGGACCGGGGGCGGGGGGACTTAATGGGGTCGTGGAGGAAAAGAGAACAAGACGAAAGAAAAGTACCCTGTGGCTTCTTCCTTGATTTCGGAGTTGTGCGGTGCATATAACTCTACACTCAGCACATTCAGCCGCCTTCCTAGGAAGTAGGGTGGGGGTGCGCTCTGCTGGATAGCCAGTCTGATCGTCATTTTTACACAGCCCACTTCTCTCTACCAGCTGGGGATGATGGGACTGGCCCATCATATCTGCATGGCATTAAACTGAAGAAGGTTGAAGTTGCACCTACCAGCAAGATCTACCTGGGTAGTGCATGGGTGAGAAATCACTTGGCAATTCTGGTTTTTTGTTGTTGTTGTTGTTTTAATATAGCCAGATGAGGAAGATGAAGAAAATTGGCAAACAATTTCTGTAATTAAAAGTTAACTGAGTGACTTGGGCTCGTCACTCTCGGGTAATCCTACCTCATCGGATTGTTGGGTGTAAAATAGGAGTCGAGCATTATTTACACTGCCTTGAGCTTCTTATGATATTTAAAAGGCTCATATGTTTATTATGGCATAATAAACTAATAGAGACAAAGGTAACTAGAAAGAATGTTTTACTGTTGCACCTCAAAAATATTTCAGCTACCATGGATTGAAAAGAGTGGGACAAAGAGAAGTGTGGGTTGGGGAGTATAGGAAATCCCACGGTAGTTGAGACAGTCTGTCTGTAAATGGGATAACTGGGGGAATTTGCAGGCACCCCTGAAAAGAATTGGACCTAGTCAAAATACTTTCCCATTTCTTGGATCCATTTCTAGGGGAGAAGTGATGATATTTGCTTTTGCCGAAGAGAACATGTTCTTAAGCAGTTCCAATCTAATTATGATTTCTTACGACTGTTCCCTCCTTTTTTTTTTTACTGCTATTAAAGAAATGGCCCTGCTGAACACTGCTGATTTTTAACACTTCCATTTTAGGAGTTTGAAAAACTGACTGATGACCTCCAGGTAGTCTAAACTTAAATTCAACATTCTCATTTCCTTTTGCAATCTTTTCATATGATCATGTGTCTGCCTTCTAATGCACTTTGTCACACTTTTTTTTTTGTTTGTCAAACATAGAGACTTCCTGAATCTAGTTCTGTGGTGAATGCAGTAGCTCCCTGCTCCTCTTTTTTGTTGCACAATATTTTATCTTTCATCATAATCTTCATCCAATAGTCTCAGCCTGATGCCTTTCAAATGTATTGGAGAGTACCAATCTCACTCCCCTTAATCAGGTTAAGGGCTTGCAGAAATTTGAATTACTAAATTTGGAGGGGGTGCTACAGCTAAAAATTGGTTAGGTCACAGCAGATTAGCATCTGTATGCAAACAGAAGATGTTTCAGCTTGCATAAATACTTTTAAAAAAAAAGAATAACAAGAATAGTTTTGACAATATATTTTGGTGTATTTTTATGTTTAAATATTATTTGCTTTGAATAAAAGTTGAAATTGAGCAATGCATACTTAAAGTGCAATGTGTGAGTTAAGAAACTAGTATAGTTTAGATTATATACTTAGTTTAATTCACGGATTAAAACAGGTTATTTTAAACTGAATGCATCTAGTACAGTTTAGATTATATACTTAGTTTAATTCACTGATTAAAACAGGTTATTTTAAACTGAATGCATCTTGTACAAGTATTATAGCTAAGACTGAATGGAACAAAACATAAGTCTAAATGAGCTTAATTTATATATTTCATCTAATATCAATTCTTATTTTCAGTGATAAATTTTTTAAGTGATAGCAAGTGACTTATCTAGTGAAGTATGGATACTCTGAAAATATTGAAAAAAGTTGTATATATACAGTATATTAAATGGCCTTTAATACATTAGACTCATAATAGACATACTGTGATTTCAGAAATGATGCATTAGTTCTACCAAAGTTCTCTCAGTGGTATGATGCTTTCATTTTATTCCAGTGAGAATCCTACTATTGTTTGAAAAATGGTTTGTTGAATAAGATGCAATGAATGTACCATAGCTGTATCCAGGAAGGCCAAAATCTAATACGACAATCTACATTCGTCATGTGAACCACACACATCTATGTTGTTTTAAAAACAAAAGGTTCAAATAAGCCCAGTGTATTGATGAACAGAGTTCTTCTTGTTTGGAGAGGTCTAGAAGAAAAGCATTCAAAACATCCCCAGGTGCAGTTTTCTGAATCTTAAGTTCATATTCTCTCCAGCTCCTGGTATTAGGGTTAGGGTAAGGTTATTAGGGCTGCCACAAAGACAAGAAATGGTTGGAAATTAATCAAAGAGAGAAGCAACCTGGAATTAAGAAGAAATTTCCTAATAGTGAGGACCAGTCAGTGGAACAGCTTGCCTTCAGAAATCATGGGCACTCCATCACTGGAGGTATTGAAGAAGACACTAGATAGTCACTTATCAGAAATGGTATAGATTCTCCTGCATGAGCAGGGGACTGGACTAGAAGACCTCCAAGGTCCCTTCCAGATTCTATTCTATTCTATTCTAAGCAGGGCACAGGTAAAAGATATAGCTAAAAGTAACTTTGGATTTTGCACATAATGTATGCCATGAGAAGTTTATCACTTGGAATGTGATAGTTCTAAATAATAATACAGGCTGGAAGATAGAATAAATAATGGAAAAGATATGTTGAGATTCTGATTTTTCACATTTAAAATAAGTTCTGGGATTTGGGAAACCAGCTCAGAGGTTATTATTAAAATGACAGAGTGAGTTACTGGAAGTAGCATGCTTCCCTGTTGCTCTAGGTTTTAATCCAAGGAAGCCTCTTTTGTACTGTTACTGCAGGAACTGCCAAGAGACGAATCCTTGTTCTGTCTCTAGCAGATGGCAAAGCTATAATTTATAGAAAGAAATGATAACTTGGTGGATTAATAACAATTGCGTGTTTGATTAAGGATGAAAACAGGTGGTTTCAGCAGGCCTTTGTCTTTTACTATTCTTAAAAACTGTAGATGTCATAATTGAGACAAAAGTTTTAAAAATGTGGTGGAAAAATACTTTTCAAAACAATGGTAGTCCTCTACTTACAACCATTCATTTAGTGACCATTCAAAGTTGCAACAGCACTGGAAAAAGTTATTTATGACTGGTCCCCACACTACAACTGTCATGCCCCTGTTGGAGACTGACTCCGAGGGAGAGGGAGGTTGTGGAGGAAGCTGGGGAAGGACAGAGGCTGGCTGGGCAGTCAGAGGAAGACCTAGGCCCACCCCTTCTCCATCCTAGGGCATGCAGGAAGGAGAGGATAAGGGAGAGACGGCGTGGTCTACAGGGAGGAAAGAGCCGTGATTCTCTTCATGGGCTGCAGCTGTGAGAACTGGTTAAAAGGACAGACGTGTATGGGCCAGGCTGGAAACAAAGCGTGGAAATATCTTTAGTCTGTGGTTCTTCTCTGAGTTTGGCGTCCTTCCCAGTGTGTGTTCCGATATCTGTGGATGTCTTCAAGCCCTTATCTTGCCTGGTTCCCTTCATTGCTTCAGTGTGGTTTGTGTTGTTTTTACACTTGATAATTTATAGGCAGTTTTAGTTTAAAGGGCATTTTCTTCTTTTCATATCTGCTTGTGGGGGAGTTTTTTGTCTCCAGTCAAGGATATTTGGAGCTTGGAAGCAAAATGAAGGAATAAAAGGGGCTTCACCTGTTTTTGTGACTGTGTTTATTTTGTGTCCCACCCTGGGCCATCACAACAACCATAGCAGCATCCCCACAGTCACATTATCAAAATTTGGATGCTTGGCAACTGGCATGTATTGGCACATGGTCCCCATTTGCAACCTTCCCAGCCAATGTTCGACAAGTGAAATCAATGGGGGAGCCCAGATTCCCTTAACAGTTGCAGTGATTTGGTTAATAACTGTGGTCATAAAAGTCATAAAAACGAGCCCAACTCACCTTATTTAACCACCTTATTCAGCAATGGAAATTCTGGTCCCGATTGTGATGGTAAATGGAAGACTGTCTGTTTTATAACAATTCACACCTACTGTTTTAAGTGGATAAAGTAAGATGCTTGTGTATATAGGTTTTTTACGGATTGTCATGTTAGTGCAAAACTATGTGCCTAATGCAGCACAACAGCTATCCGGTGGATAAAGATAAAACTCTTATGTAGGCTTGCATTGACTCTTTTGTTGTATTATCTGGTGAATAAAAAGTGGCTTCCCCCAAAACTGGACCTGGTGACTTCTCCCTGCAGTGATAATTGAGAGAAAAATGGGGTATTTGTATGTATAGTAGTTGTTTTATATATCCGTAAAACAAGGACAGGGACAGATAAAATCTACAATCCCTTAAGCATAACTACAGAAGGTGATAAACTCTACTGTATTTTTACTTAATATATTATTCTTTAGCGACCCATAGAACAAGAATATCGGCAGAAATAAATACCCTGTAGTTTTTATTCTAAATAATGAATGCAAAAATATTTTTTTTGAAGGAAAGCATATCAGTATTTTGAATCAAGGCCAAGCCATAGCTTTCTCTGACCACACTTCTTTCTTCCAGCTCAGAAAACGTTTCTAGAATCTATGAAGACTAGGAACTTATTCTAAAGAAGTAACAAAGACATTCAAGCTTCTCTGAACTTTCCTTTATTCAGTAATATCAGGAGCTGCATGTATTTTATGCAACTGCACCCATCTGCACCAGTGGTGGGATTCAATTTTGTTTTTACCATCGGTTCCGTGGGCGTGGCTTGGTGGCCATGGCAGGGGGAAGATACTGTAAAATCTCCAGTCAGAGGTGGTATTTGCTGGTTCTCTGAACTACTCAAAATTTCCTCTTATCGGTTCTCCAGAACTGATCAGAACCTGCTGAATACCACCTCTGATCTGCACTCAGTTTTAGCAGAAGTTCAAGAGGTGAAGTTTGATAAATAACTGTGACACCTTCTAGGGATTCTAAGAACCTACCTCTCTCTATATGTATGCCCCAAGATTTGAATTTTTCTCCCATCCATTTGTTGTAAGAAATCACTTGCTGTCCTTTCTTATTCTGATCCGTTGGCGGCACCTGGCCTGTCTTAAGTAGACTTAGGTGGTGCCAGACTGCTAATTTTGCATTTCACTAGTTTCATCCCTCAGTGCCATGGAATATAATAACAAAAATTAACTGCTCAGTCACAAGGTGATACATTTTATATTAACTAATTGTTCCTTCCTCCCCTCCCATGTCTTAGTTTTTTGTAACCATGGTGGGAGAAGACAACATATCTCTAAGAAATCGCCGAGCTATGTACGGCACTGCAGAAGAGAAAGATGACTTACCAAGCAGGCTGGAAGAAGACTGGCCGTCGTCTGCATCAAGCAATGGTAAGATTTCATGATTAACTGCATGACATACAGCTTGTTCTTACTTGTTTAATGGTGTATTTCTATTAGTTATTAAATCTTCTGGTATTTGTAAGAGGCATTTCTTTTCTGTTTTTAAGTTTTACACATATGTCAGCAACTATTTTCTACCTTTTGTCAAATGGAGGCGTATACCTGAGGTAGGCAGCTACTGTTTCCAGATATTTTGGATCTCACCTTCTATTAGCCTTGACTGGTATATCTAATAGCTAGTGGCAGCCGTACTCCAAAATTTAGTTTGTGCATTGAAGAAATTATACTTTAAAGCTGGCTTTGCTTTCTCACCACATTTGACTTTATAAGCTCTTACTTTATAACCTCTTTTTTAACTAGGATGATGACCATTATTTTGGTTTACCAAGTGTTATTCATTTATTTACTGATAGGATTTATACACTATCCAATTTGAACATGAGGCTGATCAACAAACAAAAAAAGGAACATTAAACAAACGTTGCAAAACTAATGCAGACAATCCACTGCTTACATTCTGAGAGATTATCCGGATGTTTGTTTTGTTCAAGCATAAAAAATATGTTCAATGCAGTTCTTGCCTTAAATGGGAGGTATTCCAGTAAACTTTGGGTGGGCCCAGGAGAAGCAATGGGGGAGGAGACAGGGAGCAGGAAGCTGGCCTTTTCCTGCCTTCTCCCAACTTCCTTTCCCGCCTTCTTCTGCCAACACCCAGGGTTCTACAGTTTATATGGGGTGAGAACTGTCCTGTACTTATTCATAACTTCAGCTTAGAGGCTCCTGGAGGTTGGAAGAGGATAGGTTGGTTTCTGTGGTGCCACCTATGTATGGGGGTGCAGTGGAAACTGGCTTGTTACTACCTTCTCCTGCTTTCCCGGTGCCGACAGGTTTGTTCGTATTGACGAAGTTCATAACTCGAATGTTTGTTAGTAATGTCTGTATATCATTAAAACCAAATAAACAGTGAAAGGCAAATGTAGTGTAATATATTATAATTCCTAAAAATGGGGAGCCTACTAGGCACGTCTCCCTGTGTCCTATAAGATGATGTTTCAAAGAAGAAATCTGGAATGTGCCTTTCCTATCAGAGTGCGTGGAACAAGCAAATATTTGTGAGACCAGATGGTTCTGTAAACATCCCAGTCCTTTGCCATGTAGGGCTTTATTGGTGATATTAATGATACTTGAATTGTATTTGGAAGTTATTGGGACCCAATGCAGTTCTCATAGTAGAGGTATGAAATATGGGGATATAAGAAGAAATGTCCTTAACCATCCATTCTGCTGGCATTCTGGTCCAGTTACGGCTTCCATGTGGTCTTCAAGGGTAGCCCCATCTAGGCAGAAGGTGCCGAAAGGCAGGAGTAACTATGAGGAGAGTTCCAAGATTTAGGAGTATGCCCAATCGGCACACGAAACAAAATTGTACAAAAGCTTCCCTGGCTATAGTTATCACAGGCTCTTCAAACAGCTGTGAGTCCAGGAGGAACTTCAAATTGCATACTGAATCTGCATGAGGCAATTCAACCCCTCAAAGTCAAGGATAATCTCTCCAGACCAGTGGAGCCAAAACCCAAAGCAATTTGGTCTTGACAGGATTGGGCCAAAACCTCTTGGTCATCCAGACCCCTGCCACCTCCAAACATTGGACAGAACCTTGACATGTTGACTTAAATGGCCAGAGGCAGAGATGTACAATTAATGATACTGCACCCTGTGTAGGTGAATGGTTTTCCCCAGCAGTTTCAGGTAGATATTAAAGAGGAGAACAAAGAGCTCTGTGGCACCCAGTAATACAAAGACTTAGGAGTAAACCTCTTCTTCCTCCAACACTGATTGCAACCATCTGTAGACAAAAGACAAAAACAACTACAAATAGTGCCCCCCACTCCATTCCCAAAATGGTCAAGGAGGACCAGGATGGATACACTGGCTCAATCCCAAGTCTGCCTCCCAGAGGTCATTCACAAGTGCAACTATTCTTTAAGAAAGCTGTTAACTACCATGTAAGTAGGAGTTCTCTTATGATTGTTTGCATAATGCTTGGCACCATATTGTATCTATAATTTATTGTATTACAAGTAGTCCTTGATTTATGACCACAATGGAGCCCAACATTTCTGAAGTGAGACATCAGTTAAGTTGAGTTTTCCCCCATTTTACAACCTTTTTTTGCCACAGTTGATACTAGATAATCTGCTTCCTTGAGGATCTTTTGTAGTTGTAGGTGAACTACCGTGTTTCTCCAACAATACGGCCTCCACCAATAGGAAGACCCACCATGTTTTATTGGCATAAAACCAAATTAAGCCCCTCCCCCCCAAATTAAGGCCCATATTAAACATGGGGAATGGCGGCGGGGGCTTGCCGTTAGGAAGTACTTTTGTTGCATGCCCGGATATGCTGCCTGCGTTGGTGGGGCACTTCATATCGGGAGACCTTCCGCCACCGTTGCTTTCCCTTCTCCCTTGCTGCCGTGGCATTAGAGCAACGCCGCGGCGTTTGGCGCAGCCACGTGCAGCCAGTCAGGGCTCCTCCCTGTAACCGGAGCCCTGAGGAGACACTTGGCTTCAGGCGCTCCTGTCGCCGCCTTCCCTTTGCCTTCGAAGGTAAAGCGAACTTTTTTAAAACGACACCCTACTACAACAAAGCTTCCCCTGCCCGAGAGGGCAGCCCAACCCCACGTGAGGAGGCGAATCTCCCGGGGCCTCAGCGCAGGATCAGCCTAACTCGGGAGAAGCGCCCAGCCGCCATCCCTGCACGGCTCCGGCGCGGCCCTGGCGGGATGAGCGGAGAGTCCGGGGGGGAGGCGCTTGCTGCCTTGGTGAGAGCTCTACCACCGGGAAGGAGGGCCCGCCTGTCAGCTGCGCTGGGTGCCCCAGGCGAAGCTCTTTGCGCTCTGCCCGGCGCCAGGCAGGGATGGCGGCTGGGCACTTCTCCCGAGGTGGGCCGATCCTGCGCTGCGGCCCCGGGAGATTCGCCTCCCCACGTGGGGTTGGGCTGCCCTCTCGGGCAGGGGAGGCTTTGTTGTAGTAGGGTGTCGTTTTTAAAATAATTCGCTTTACCTTCGAAGGCAAAGGGAAGGCGGCGACAGGAGCGCCTGAAGCCAAGTGTCTCCTCAGGGCTCCGGTTGCAGGGAGGAGCCCTGACTGGCCGCACGTGGCTGCGCCAAACGCCACGGCGTTGCTCTAATGCCGCGGCAGCAAGGGAGAAGGGAAAGCAACAGTGGCGGAAGGTCTCCCGAACATCCAAGCTGTCGCCACCTGCCCACTCGAGGATGCAAGGGGTGGAATTAAGTCACCCCCCCAAAAGACGGCCTAGCCGTTTTTTCGGGGGTCAAAAAAAAAAAAGGCCCAGCCTTATTTTGTGAGAAACATGGTAACTTCTCAAAAGGGAAGATTGAAGAGTGGATGAAGATTGTCCAGATCCAGCAATAGTTTTTTAGAGAAGGAGGTAGGCCACAACCCCTTTTAAAGCCAATGGAATCACCTATTCTTTTAAGCAAGCATTAACAGCTGCATGAATCCATCCACCCAACCTATCCCAGTAATACAAGCCAGCTGATTTGCATGAGAAAAGAATATTTACACATTGTTAATTACTCCTATGTGATGTGATGAGCTGAACCAAAATCAGTGGAGGCACTTCCTTGTATCTTTGGCAAAAGGGGATCTGTTCTTGATTGTTACCATTGTTTTTCAAAAAACGCTTTTCTTTTTAATTGAGAAACAAACACACTCCAACTAAATTGTATTCAGTCGGGTTAGTGAAGATTTAGGCTTAGTATATTGCTCAGAATCACATGCAAAGTCATGCTTGGCTATTTTCCAGAAATTTTTCCCCTGAACTTTTTTTACCCTCTAAACAACCTTGGACCATAATCAAGTGAGTAATTTGCCTTGAGGGAAGCATATGAGTCCTTGGCTCTGTGGTCCTGGACTTGTAAGATATAAATCAGTCATCCTGTAACTGAGGCTACCTTTGGTCATTTTTCAGAATTGTATATATCAATGCAATATCTCTGAGTAAGGGATAAAAGGAGTGCAAAGTTGTTTTTTCTTCCCAGGTTTCTTTTTTTTTTCTTCCTTCTCTCTTCTGATTCTGCATTCATTTGCCATTACTATTGCAGAACAATATTTCTATGCAATTTTATCTTCTATTTCAGACATCATGCTCCCAAAGTAGATTACCCCAACCATATAATTAAATATGAATGTAATTATATAGCATTCAGCTAATTACAGCCTGCTAATTGGGTATAAAGAAATGGGTAGAAGTACACCGAAAGTTATGTGTGTTGACTGCTTAATTTAGGTCATAAATGAGTTCTGCCATTCTCTTTCTGAAAACCTGTTGAGTATTGGCCAGGGTACAATTTACAGGAAATATTTTTTTTTTTTTTGACTCTGAGTGCTACCACAGTGACGGTAACTTACAAAAAGCACAAGTGGCTTTGCACTAGGCATATAATAGGCAGTACAAAATAATATCGGCTTTGTTTGTCACATCAGCATAAAGCACATCTTGTCATTACAAAGCAAGCTCAAGAAGGGTCATGAATTTCTATTGACCTGTAGTCCTGTAATTTTAGGCTTCAGTAGCTGCTGGCCTGTGTAGTCTGTTTTGTAATATTTTGTGACTCTGGATATGTTTTTATTTGGAACATTGTAATTTTTTAAAAAAAACTATTCGTTCTTGACTCCCCCGTTCTCCCAAGGAAACAGAGATTGTGAATAGGTGATTCAATATTAATGTTAATTTAATTTCAATATTAAATGCTCAAAGTAATTTGTCCCAATCATTTGGCTATGTTTTATCTATGCTGATTTGGTGGGAACTACTAATATTAGATTTCTTTGCAAAATCTGATGTGTGGAAGGAAGCTTGGTTATCCAAACATAGTTTCATGGACATAGAATTTTGCCTAGCTTTTTTTTTTTTTCAGCCAGTTTCTCCAAGCACCTAAGCAGGGATAATTTCTAGATGCTTCTACCTAAGATTCTTTACAGAGCAACAATGACTCTTGTTCAGGTGTAATTAAGTTTAAAGTTCTAGGAGAACCTCATATTATCAGCACAAAGCTGACTGTCATAAATCTTTTTCTTTCTTGCTAACAACAAGGACTCAGCAAGGATAATCTGTGGAGAAAGGTCCTTAACCGTTCACTGATGATTCCTCTCTACATTTTCCTCAGTGGCGCCCCTTTACTTTTTAATATAACAAATACTGCTCTGGAATCCCTGACCCACAACTTTTTTCAGCTGCTACTTTTTATTTTAAATCAAATTTGAAACAGTTGTTTTCTCTCACTCCTTTGAAACAGAAGAATAGTGATTCACAGGCATGGGTGTTTCTCAGTTATCAAAATGAATTTAGGTAACAATAACATCCTTTTGATAGTAATCCAGCATATTTGGAGAGCACCAGAATGGTATAGCCTAATGCGTATTTCTTTCCTAACCCCAGTGAAAAATATTTGCGCAAATTAGAGAAGTTTCAGGTTGCATTAGAAGCCAGTTGTTCTCATCCAGACTTCATTTGATCAAATATCATGAGTGAGGTCATCTTTTTAACTGCCTTTAAAATTGAGCAAGTATAAGAGGAAGTACAAGCAAAAACAAACTGGTATAGGAAAAAGTAATAATTAGACTGAACAAAGTTATGTTTTTTTCTTTTTGGTGAAATTGCCACTTTCACTAGAATAGTAAATTATCACAACAAATATTCCAGGCTCCAGTATTAATTTCCAAAGTAACTAGGTATCTGCAAGGCAATTCACAATCAGCAAATTCTAGCTAATCATGATTTATAAGGGAGAATTAGATAATATTTGGAAGTATCGAAATTTTTTGATGGAATAAAAGAGGAATGCCCTTAATCTGAGGATACATGGGAATGGAATCATCTTTTAATAGAGCACAAATGAAGTTTGCATTTCCTCCTTTCACATCAGTAGCTAAAAGAATTTCATCATATTCAATTGGATTTTGCTGATCTGAGTAAGCAGTGGTTCCTATAGAATTAAAGCTTAAGCAGTCCTCACATTTTAAGTATAAGTGAGAAGTGTTTGTATTATGTGCCATTAATAGAAAGGTAGGAGTGATTGCCTGATCACACTTGTAGTACAGCATGGCCTAGATTCATAATGCATGTATCAAAGCCTACTCCTGCTTTGAATAAAGAGAATTGTGACTTGGAGTCACTGTGAATAATTTTAGCTTATATAGATTTGTAGTTTTTGAAAGAGGCTCATATTCATTTAATGCAATTGCTTGAAAACAATTGTTTGGCTTCCATTTCAGTCCCCTAACTTTTCTGTCCCCACTGAATGCTAGGAATCAATCCTGTCACCTCCTGGGCTGTATAGCATGGAGGGGAAAGTGAGGATTCTCTCTGTGACTATTTCTTCTTGTTTCGGTAGAAAAGATGTTTCACTTCTGGATAGTGCTCCCAAGATTCCAGTTCACTGGGAAGGGTTGGCTTCTGTGTGTTCAGTTTCAACAGAGAAGATATGCTGTTCCTGATTTGTCTCAGTCAATGTTCCCTTAGTGTTCTGCTTTCCTGCTCTTCCTATGACCCATCCTATTTCACAGGTGTAGAACCAAGGCAGAGAAAAGCCATTTTATTGCTGAGATTGAATTTGAACCCATGTGTTCCTCTGTATAAAATATTTTCTTCTTCAGCTCTTGGCTTCATGTTATCTGTACTAAATCTTGCAACCTCATAAAGTTTGCTTCAAGAGTACTCCTACTGACAAGCATGTTTCAAGCTTTTCAAACAAAGGCCTTGTTACCAGAGGTCAATGCTCAAATAGACAGAGATTCATTAATCATATGGGAGGAAGGTCACAGGTTTCTTGTAAGTGATGACTTCAGCAAAAGACTCTGTGTTCTAAAGTTTCCGGCTTAGTGATTCATTTCTGGTGGACCTTGAACAATTAGGCAGACCAAGTCCCTGTCTTTTTATGTTTTTTCTTCTTCTAACACTGTCACTTTAACACAAAGTTACTTTGCAGTATTTCCTATCAGTACTGATACTAAGCAAGCTCTCATAAATCTGTTCAAACCTGATAAGCACTGATACATTATAATAGTACATCTTTTCCTACCTCTCTCTCCTTCCCTATGCAGAGAGAAAGAATGAGGGAAAGAGTATGTGTAGTGAATAGAGTTTCCAGAGTAACTTTTTACCCTTTCAAATTCAACTACAACTTAAGTGATGGATGCATATATTTTCCTCTGTATTTGGGATATATAATAATATTCCAGATAATTTTACTGTCCCATTAACAATCAACAGTTACAAAGATTATATAGGCCTGAGTTATATAAGACTTGAGGCTGATTTCCTATCCTACTTTAATAAGAAATCTAACTGATCTCAGAGCTATTAAATGTGTTTCATGTGTTCTCTAAGTTTTGTCTGGAACTTTATCTGCTGAGAGTCTGTAGAGATTCTCAATCATCCAGGTCATGGTTGTCCCAAAGGTGCTTTTTCAGGAGGCAACTAGATTTTCTTTTTTTTTTTTGTTTGAAGATGTTTCACTTCTCATCCAAGAAGCTTCTTCAGTTCACTTCTCATCCAAGAAGCCCAATATCCTGTCAGAAGTGAAGAAGCTTTTTGGATGAGAAGCGAAATGTCTTCAAAGAAAAAAAACAAGAAAGTCCAGTTGCCTCCTGAAAAAGCACCTTTGGGATATATCTGCTAACTTAAAAATAAACTTGCATGCTGGCAGGTCAAAATGTTTGCTAAGAGTCTTATTCCTGAAATCTGTAAAAATTACATAAATAATGACATGGTTTTATGTTATATTTTGTAGTGGATATAATTTGGAGGACCTATTCAGGCTTTGTGGAATATAATAACATTAACGTGGCTTAATTTATAGTCATGAATTGTATTACAGCAGAGCTTTAGATCATCTGTGCCCTTTTCAGGATTGGTGCAATATAGAGACCTTGGAAAATATGAAAGAATTGCAAACGAACAACCATTTCCAAGGTTTGATATTCTATCACTTGTTTGTTTCCTAACATTCAAGGTCATGTGAATAAATCACAAGAATAGTTAGAAGCTAACTATTGAATGAGAACTACCATCTTCCTACATAGAAGCACAATTAGTTAAGCAAGCGGCTAGAAGTATTTATGTATGACGTGCTGACTTTGTTGGGAATTATTATGTTTTGAGAGTGTTAATATGATTTGTCTTTGAACTCTTACACGGAATATGGAAAAGTAATATCAGTTGTACTTAACATTTAATTCTGCAAGTGAAATATAAAAGATAAACATAGCTACCTTTTATTTAATCCATTCACCTGCCTTGTTCAGGATACAAACCTCAGGTGTGTTGATTTGAAAACCAAAATATTCTATTTCCTTGGCTGTTTTATAGGAATGGGATCTGGAACTATTTCATCACAACTAAAAAAAATGAAATAGCCAGATTAATGGCTTTTTTTATAAAGGATGTTCAGAAAAAATGTTTCAATTGCAATTTCATTCTTGCTGAAGAATGTTCTTATGACATGCTTATGTCCAGCAGTATGGTGGGCTTTTGGGAACGAGACAAATATATTTTACACAGTTTTTGCAATAGCATGTTTTATGTGAGCAATAATTGAAGATTATTATTTTTTAAAAAGCCATTTTATTCATATTATGCTTTGAGAGACATTTGGAATTCATGAGAAAATGACCTCTTGGGCATTGTTCTTATTGACATAATATAAATATATTTTATCTGTACTACCTGAACCTTTAAAAGTGGGATTTATATGCTTAAATATAAAAACAGTTAATTCCTGCCATATATAAAACCAGAACACCAGGGAGAAAATTAGGCTAAAATTCTGCTTTTTGATATATATGTTTTTTTTTCTTTTTTATTAAGTGCCCTGGGTAGTTCTTCAAAATTTTCTGTGCCAATTACCTTCAGTTCTTAAGTTTACAAATAGCTATTTTTCTATAATGTGTAAGCACTCCTTTGAGGCAGGGAACATTTTGACTTTGGAAGAATTATTTTTCTGATGGGTAACAAAAGAATAAAATTGCTTGTACATGCTTATACAGGTGAGTCCATATATATTTTTTTTGGGGGGGGGGACTCTAATTTCCTATATGGATTTTAACATAATATACTTATATATATATTTTTTCCTTCATGGAATTTATATTTATGTTTTCAAGATATGTAGAAAAGTATGGCTACAGTTTGAAGACAACAAAACATGATTTGTTTTTCTTTAGGTCGCATTGATGTTGATCTTGCAATAACAAGAAAGATGCGACTTTTAACAGAAGCAGAGGTAAATAAATGTCACCAACAAGCCCTTTGCTGTTATATATATGGCTCTGCCTATCTATTTACAAGCAAGTTAGCCTGTTGTCAGATTTCCCAGTCTCACATTCCAAGATCTATTAACTGCAATTCTCAGAATTTCCATTGACATAAAATGGAACATAAAAATTGTGGGGATCTGGGGGAATTATGTTGTTACTAGAAACTGCTATACAGGTAGGTCTCGACTTACGACCACAATTGAGCCTAAAATTTATGTTGATAACTGAGACATTTGTTAAGTGTGTTTTGCTCCGTTGTACAACTTTTCTTGCCATAGTTGTTAAGTAAATCATTGCAGCTGTTAAGTTAGTAACTCGATTGTTAAGTGAATGCTGGCTCCCCTGTTGTCTTTGCTTGTTGGAAGGTCACAAGCTGATCACATGACCCTGGGACACTGCAACTGTCATAAATATGAAGCTGTTGCCAAGTGTCTGGATTTTGATCACATGGCCATGGGGATGCTTCAATGGTCATAAGTGTGAAAAATGATCATAAGTCTCCTTTTTTCAATGCCATTGTAACTTTGAAGGGTGAGTAAATGAACTGTTGTAAGTCAAGGACTAGCTGTATTAGAAAATGGCCACTTTTTAAATTGAAAAAAAAATGGCAATTTGACTTTTAGATTGGTTAAAAAAAAAGTGGCTCTTGTTTTTATTGATTTAGGTGGAGAATTAGACCGCAGCAGTTGATCAAATGAAAAGCTTTTTTTAAAAAAAAAAAATCTCTGCCTTTTGTGAACTTACTGAACTTGAAAGTTGTAATTCCTGGTTTGTTTGTTTTTGGCAGGTGACAAGCCAAAGTTTCTTTTTTTTTTTTTTTCCTTTTCTCCTTTTGTTTTAGAATAAGGGCTGACTGTTGTTTTTCTTCTTCTGTTACAAAGTTATACTGCATTAAAACAAAATTGGTGTCATAGTTCTATAAGTGCATAAACATTCTAAATGAAAGATTTTGATTGCTTTAGATCGTCTTAAATTCAAAGAGTTAAGAGATCAAAAGTCACTATAGTATAGGCATCTGACTCCCTAGCAACAAACTTAGTTTATAAATTTTTGTATATATGTGTGAAATATTAAGTATGGAAGAGAACTAATTCTATACTAATGGTAGTTATATTCTAGAAGATCTCTCAACTAATAGTTTTCACTTATTTGAGAAATGTTTTCTCAAGAGCTCCTTCTGAATGTTTTCTCTCACAATTACAGTCATGTAGTGTGGCTAGGAAAAAATCCCTTATTGAGAATGTTTGAGCAAGCAGTTGTTTGGGTGAGATGTTGCTTTAAATGATTGTGATTTTTTAAAAATTCTATTCTTTCTCTCAAATTTTATCAGCAGTTGAAGCCAGCATTCATGAAGGGTGTGGAGAAGCATTTTACTGAAGTTGTCAATAGTTTGATTGCAAATTCTGTGCTGCTGGAATCTTCCCCAGCTGCTTTTCCAGAAAAAGACAGTCTCAAAATCAAGTATGTTGGTTATTCACTCAGTAGATATGATTTCTTACTTGAATTCTTTACTTTTGTCTTTGTTTTAAATAGTATGTGTTCCTTTCCTCACAGGGGAACAAGAGCACCTCCAGAACATGGAAAAGTTTTTATTCCCAGAAAGTCTCTCTTGGAGTGAGTATCTTTAATGGAATTTGTATATTACAGTAGTACTGATGCTAAAGTTACTATTGCTTCAGTCCACTTTGGAAATGTGATTAAAGCAGTTTCTGTGTATAAGGGGATGTAAAGTCACGTCTCATTTTTATCATCTTTTTCATCATTTTTTTTTTCATTATCCATCTTGACTGAAACTGGGCATTTGGTTAGCCACGGTGCACCTAGAGTTCCAGTCAGAGATGACCACACCCTATATTCACCCATTTTTCCCTTTTCTCCTTAAAGCTGGTCTTCTGATTAGAGTCTCTAGCCATGTGTATCACTCGGAAGTGACTCCTAGTAAATGACTAGATCAGGGATCCCCAAACTTGGCAACTTTAAGACTTGTGGATTCTTTTAGTCCACTATTGTCACCCCTCTATTTGATACTTTAAGGTGCAAATTAAATATAATTGATTAATGCAGCTTCCTGTTATATGTACAGGTAGTCTTTGATTTAACAATTATTCATTTAGTGACTATTCAAAGTTACAATGGCAGTGAAAAACATGACATGCCCATTTTTCACACTTATGACTGTAGCACCATGGCTGTAGTCATGTGATCAAAATTTGGAAACTTGGTGGCTGACATGCATTTATGACAGTTGCAGTGCTCTGGGGATATGAAATAACTTTTTGCAAGCGAAGTTAATGGGGAAGTCAGATTCAATTTATTAATTATTAACTTAACAATTGCAGTGATTCACTTAACAACTCCAGTAAGAAAGGTCATAAAATGGGTCAAAACTCATTTAACAACTGTCTTGCTTATCACAGAAATTTGGGGCTTAATTATGGTCATAAGTCAAGGACTACCTATAACTCAAGCGTTATATACAAGCTACAAAAATAGTTGATGTAACATGTGATAGTCTGTTCTCCATTTTCTCACCTCTTTTCTTTCCAAGTTAAACTTTCCAAGTTAAGCTTTGATTATTTCCTACCTTAGCTCAGAGGCCAGTTTAAAACATTTCAGGGTGTGAGGCTGATAGGTGTGGTGTAAGGTGCCAAATCTTGTATTATATTAAAAATAGTTACTTTAAAAAATTGTTGAAACACACCTTTTGGCTTTCATTTTAGAGAAAAAACGAAGGACATTTGCTGAGCATGTTAATAAGAAAATGTTTCTATTCCTTCTGGTCTTGAGAGATAAACATTTCAGGGATACGTCCCTGCAGCACTCTATAAAAGTTCTTGTTATTATTCTGGAAGACAACATTGATTTCTCATCTTAAATCAGTTAAAGAACCAGAATATTGGAAAGCCTTTAGTTTTACAGGTGTTTCGTTCATTGGTTTCAATTTTGTTGAAACCTGGGCTTCTGAAGTCTTACCATCCATTTTCTTTTTTAGATATTTATAATAAGTTGGGGGGGGGGGAGAGAAAGATGCTCCTTAAACTTTCTCATAGCAATTTATAATATATTTGCAATTACTCTTCAGTAATTAAAAAAACCCAAAAAAAACCCATTTTTTGTTGTCTTTGTATCCTTTGGAGGAAATTACAGTAGGTTTAATTGTTTTTATAAGTTCAGTTTCCTGACAATAATTATGAATCATATTAAGTATGAAACAGTATTAGTGGTTTCATGCTTCTCTATTGCATCCATTCAAAAACCATTGTCTGAAGTACTTTCCTGATTTCTAGATTCCTTATTTAACAAAGAGGGGGAAAAATGAGAAACTAGAAATAAACTTTACAGTCTAGCTCATTAGGATGGCAAATTATATCCTGTGTTAAAAGTGATAGGATGGGATATGGCCCATATAATCTTGCACAGGCTGAAGACTTATGGGCAGAATAGATTACTCCCATGTTTCTTAACCATCACTGAGAAAGAAATATCTAGGGGTTTGTAGGTTAGTGAAGTCTGATTTAATTTGGTCTATGGAGTGCAATCTACTTTGAAGGTTGGCTCAACTTTGAAATGTGAGCAATGTCTGGTAGGAAGTAGAGCGGGTAGCACTTACATATTCAGTCAGTCAGTCAGTCAGTCATTTAGTCATTCATTATTTGTGTGGCACTTATTCACAAAATTTCTGAGTGCTTAACAATCATGAAAATTATGAGGGAAGGGAACCAACTAGAAATCTTGGACTTGCAATAATATTTTTAGAGATCATATTGACTAACGTTTTTCCCCTTTTTTCTAGAAATTTCCTAATTTTATTTTATCCCATTGAACTTCTTTTCATAGTGAGTTATTTGAAGTGAATCATATCCGGACCATCTACCACATGTTTATTGCTATCCTCGTTTTGTTCATCCTCAGCACACTTGTGGTGGACTACATTGATGAGGGAAGGTAAGAACATCTGGAAAACGTTAGCTGGAGGCAGGGTTGGTGCTGCATTTTGGCATTTGACACCTGGATCTATAGTACCTCTTCTCTATTAATGAATAAAGTTTGGAGGGAGGAATGATTGACCCAACTCTTTTTTGTAGAGGAGGAAAGCTGCAGAGAACCCCATGATTATATTTACAGGGATTGTTACAACAAAGGCACTTTGCCAAGGATATGTCCTTGCCAAGGTTTTGCAATCTATCCTTGAATTGTGTATATCTGGATGATACTATGTTGTTTGATATTTTATAGTAGCCTTCCTCAGTATCTGCTAGATATGTTAGCTAAGGCTAATAGAAATTGTAAGCCAAAACATATCTGATCCACACTGAAGTAATGAAGACTGCTTAACATTATTAGATGTTACATTATTAGATGCCTACTTATGGGTCTTGTATTTTTTTTTAAATAATCAGATGTAATATTATTTTGTCGGTCTTGATTTTAGTAGCTCTTAATTCCTCTCCCCCACCCCCAATCACACCCCAAATATTATATTTTTACCTGGTGACTGAAGTTCCATTAACCTGTTTGTTTTCTTTGATATTTTTTGAAGGCTTGTGCTAGAATTTGATTTCCTCGTTTATTCTTTTGGCAAAATTTCTATCGTCATTCCAACTTGGCTTTGCATGTTCTCCTCCACGTTACTTGTGCCCTACGTCCTCTTTGTCCGGTGGGCCCAGGGGTTCCATAGCTCCTCCCACAAGATCATCCGTTCCACTTTATTTGGGACACTGTTTGTGATGTTCCAAACAGTTTGTCTTGGATTTGGACCAACTTACATTGTTTTGGTTTATGATCTACCACCAGCTTCTCGTTTTATAATTATACTTGAACAGGTGAGTTTCATTATTTGCAAAGTGGATGTAAGGAACTGGAGTTGTAGGTTTTTAAATCTTAATAAAGCATAAATATTTTTTTTCTGCAGAAATATGTAGATTATTTAAGAAAAACAAGTATACATTCTCCTTTTTTATGTGGGTGGAATGCTGTTTTTCATCTGTTTCAAAAGCTTTCTCCTTGATATGTAGATTATGACTTTACTAATCCTTCATTGTACTTCAGTGCATGTTCTTGTCAAAATCAGGGTAGTTTTAAACAACAAAGTTTAATCTCAGGAGGGGGAAGAGGGAAAGGAAAAGAAAAGAAATTGTAAAGGACAGAAACAGGACATAGAGAAACAGGGAAAATGTACAAGGATTAAGGGTATAAGCCTATTTAGAAGACACAGAGATAATGGGTGAAAATTTAATTGAAAGGGGGATTCTGTAAGGGTACGTAAGATAGTATTGTTATATTAGAAATAGAAATGAACTTTGAAAATATGAAACAAGTGTGATTAAAATGATAGATAAAATACTCATTGTAATGCAATGAAATGTTTAAATAAAGAGAATGAGAGAATGAAATTAGGAAAGGAGGGGGACATTTTAATGATTATAAATGTGTTATAAAAATTTAAGTGGAGAGGAATATGAAAGAAATATGAAAAAAATATGGAAATATTATAAGTGTTCCTAGAAGTATGATACTGTATTGAAAAGAAATATTAAAGATGTCAAAGATTATAACTAACATTAATGATAGAGCTGAATTGGAATAGAATAAGTATTTTATTTATTATCATTATATATATATTTTCTCTTTAAGAACTTAGTGCGTATTTTAAGAATGTACCAAGCAGAATTCGACTGGAAGTTAATGTGTTATATTGAATGTTATAATTGTAAAGGCATAAACTGAAGTTTAAATAAGAGTTGAATGGATAAAAATTAAAAGACACAAAGGTGTCATACTCCAATTAGTAACTACAGGGAAAAATTTTGTTGAATGAGAAAAGAAAATATGAAATTGAAACAGGACAGACAAAAGTATAAATATAATGACTAGAAAGGTATTGAAACTTAGAAAAAGATACATAATTGAATTTAGAAAGGAATGAGATAATTAAAAGTAAGATTGAGAAAACTAAGGGAAGTTTTGGAAAAATCATTGAGAAAATGTTAAAATAGTAATAAGATATGGAATAGAAGACAAAGATGAATATGAAATTGAATTTGTGTCTGTATGGAGAAGTGATAACCTGGGACCAAGCTATCCTCAAAAAAAAGAAATTTTACTTGTATTATGTTTTGTGAAAACCCAAATAAAATTTTTATTAAAAAAAAAGTTTAATCTCAGGAATTAAAAGGTGAAGTAGGAATACCACTATAATCCTTAAATGGTACTAGGTAACTCTATTGTCCACATTTATTTATTTAGGAAATTTATATTGCTGCCTACTCACACATGGCAACTCAAGGCAGCTTACAGAATATAAAACCCCATATAAAAACAATAAAACCAATAAGAGTCATATAATAAATTAATATACTAAAATAACCCCCCTGCCCCAGCGACAACACCTTACCTAAGCCATTTAATGGGCTCCATTCCACTCTGGGTTCCCCAGGCCTGCTGGCAGAACCAGGTCTTCAGTGCCTTTCAGAAGAGTGCTAGAGTAGGGGCCATTCTAATCTCTGTGGGGATGATGTTCCAGAGAGGAGGGCCCACCCCGTAGAAGGCCCTTCTTCTGGGTCCCACCAGGTGTATCTCCTTAGGGGATGGGATCTGCAACATTCCCTGCCTCCCTGCTCTGATGGGTTGGGTAGATGAGACTGGCCAGAGACAGTCCCTCAGATAACCTGGCCCCAAGCCATGAAGGGCTTTAAAGGTGACAACCAGCACCTTTACAAATTTGATCCGTTCTTAGGAGTAATCCTAGTTTGAAAATGAGGACTGACCAGGGGTGGGATCCGACAGGGTTAACTACCAGTTCGGTGATTTACGAGGTTCGGTGATTTACGATGTGCTTCCCTGCACGCTGCCCGTGTGCCTGTAAATCGTCATCAGCACTCTGTGTGCAGAAAAGCAGCGTTTGCAAAAGCACTTTTTTCCTGCTTTTTTAACTACAGCTGTGCCTTGCATGGCAGCTGAAGTTGAAAAAGCAGGAAATAAAGGTCAGGTAAGAGCCCGGGCAGGCAGGTGGGCAAAAACATCAGCAGACATAGAACGGGTTCTATGTCTGCTGCTCTTCAGAGCTACTGGTTCTACAGAGGTGGACAAAACCGTTAGAAACCCCCACCGCTGGGACTGACAATCCTATTAGGGTAGAAGGAAGAGAAGACACGGTCTGGATTTTTCCCACGGTCATTCCGTTTCAATACAATAGCTATACTTAGTTTTGGAAAGAATGATACATTCAAGATAGGAAGGTTATCCTGATGTATGTCAAGCATTTGGAATGTATTTATATGTATGATGAATTTACTAAGTAACCAAAGCAGCAAAAAAAGTTCTCTTTTGTGGAAAGACAAAAATATGCTGAATTTACACTCTTGGACAGATAGCATCTTTTTGTGAGCTGGCCCTTTCTTGATATAATGGAAAAACTTTTCAAGATTTTTCCTTGTGATCATGGCTTAATACTAGGTTTAAAAATAGAAAATTTTGATATATAGTATATATTTTTCTTGCATATTTGCCCTTTTCCTGCCATTTTTTTATCATTTTAAATGGATCTTACCTGTCTTTTTATTTATAGGTACGTTTTGTGATGAAAGCTCACTCTTTTGTCAGGGAGAATGTTCCCCGAATAATCTCTGCTACTCCTCAAAAGTCAAGTGAGTCCCTTGTGCTAATTCCATATAGGTAGTCTTGAACTTGAAACTACTCTTTTAGTGACTACAAAGTTACAATGGTGTTGAAAAAAGCGACTCAAGACCAGTCCTCGCATTTACAACCGACACAGCCTACCCAAACTGATCAAAATTCGGGTGCTTGGCAATCACCATATTGCGATGACGGTTACAATATCCCGGGGTCATGTCATCACTATGTGCAAACTTTCCAATAGGTTTCTGATAAGCAAAGTCAATGGATTCGCTGAATGACTGCATGATACACTTAACAACAGTAGTAATTGACTTAACCATAGCAAAAAAATCATAAAACCAGATAGTACTCATTTCACCACCACCTTGCTTAGCAATGAAATTCTGATCCCAATTGTGGTCATAAGTCAAGGACTACTGGTACCAGGTGTCAGGGACAAAACCTTATCCTTTTTGCTGTCCTGGGAGTAGCACTCTATCTGATGGGACTGGTTCACAGGCCAGTATTTCTCCACCTCAACAAATGTAAGCTGTATAGACTTCAACTCCCCGAATTCTGGGAATTAAAGTCTATACAGCTGAATTTGAGAAACACTGATATAGGACTTGTCCAGATAGGCACAACTGGTATGAACTCTTTATCTTACAAGAAGCATCATTGTACTCAGAATTAATAAGAGCCAGGAACAAGATGGAAAAACTGAGTTTATTTTTGTGTGTATGTTATATGTTCTAGTACTAAACTACTCTTCTATTTTTTTCCCTCCAGATTCTTTTCATCTTCCTAAAGTTTCCCAATATCTGTATTTTCTTTTTGCTCCCACTCTGATTTACAGAGATGAATATCCCAGGTAATGAATAACTTTGCATATGGCAATTTCAATTCTGTTATGAAGGGATAGGTATTATATAGAGGAGCCTCTATGGCACAGTGGTTAGAGTGCAGTACTGCAAGCTACTTCTGTTGCAGCCAGCTGCCTATTATTTGGCAGTTCAAATCCCACCAGGCTCAAGTTTGACTCAGCCTTCCATCCTTCCGAGGTGGGTAAAATGAGGACCCAAATTGTTGGGGGTAATATGCTGACTCTGTAAACCGCTTAGAAAGGGCTGTAAAGCACTATAAAGCGGTATATAAGTCTAAGTATTATTGCTATTGCTGTATGCATTTGCTTGTAGTATTGCTAATATTTAGCCAAGATGCAGCTAGAGAACCAGTTTGGTCTAGGGATTACAGCACCAGCCTAGAAAGCAGGAGATCAGGAGTTCTAGTCCCACCTAAGCCATGAAAGCCAGCTGGATGACTTTCGGCCATTCACTCCTGACCAGTGCAACTCCCCTCACAGGGTTCTTGTTGTGGATAAAACAGGAGGAGGAAGGTGTATGGGATATGTTTCGCTGCTTTGAGTTATTTGTAAAAAAAATGAAAGCGGGACACAAATAAATAAAAAAAACTAGCCTGTTGATTTTTTTTCTTTAGATGTAATTTTTACTAAGAATTTTGATTGCAGTAATAAAAACTAATATAAGCTAAACCTACAGAAAGAGAATAATATGAAGAAAAAGTACAAGAAAAAAGAAAAATGGGATAAGAAAATACGTAAAGAACTGACTTTCAAACCACCACAACTATAAACAAATTTAGAAACCCCTCACCCACTACAAAGTTACAAACAGATACCGCTTTATCCCATGTCCCATCCCCTATCTATAAACAAATTTATAAAACATCAACTTTTTAATTCCAATGTCCGTAAAAAGTCGTTAAAGGGTTGCCACAACTTTGCAAATAAAGATGTTACTTTAAATTTAATCAAATAAACCAACTTTATATTCTTTTTGCTTATAACAATCTTAGTCTTTAATTCTATGAAATATTGATTAGGATTTGAATTCTCTTCACTTGTTTATCCCATTGTATATTAAAGAGTGGCAGACAATCAAATGTACTCATGACCGGAATGGAGCCTGCCCATTACAGTTGCAAGTCGTGATGGTCATTAAGTGGAGTGACCATGTGATCCCCTCACTTAATGACCACCATCCCTGCTCTTTCTGATGCAATCATTAAGGAGAGAATGTAATTCTTTGGGAGGTGGGGGGATGCCTTGGGACACCTAGCAACAGGCTCTGGACTGCTTGCCCCAGACCTCCCAGGACCTTCCCCACCCCCTGGGTTACCCCATGTGGTGCTTCCCTCCCCACAGGCTTCGGGCCTGCTTTCATCCTCATGGGTATCTTCAGGCCTTGGGCTAAGCGACTGGTTGTAGACTACCTTAAATATTTTTATCATAACTTTTGAGTTAAATACATTGTGCAACCTCATTAGCAAGCATACTTTTTATCAGCAAAGCAAAATTGCTCTGCATTTCCTTTGTTCAACCCGTGCTTTCAGTTACCAAAAAAAAGATGTTGAACTTTGATTACTAATAGGTTATATGAAGCCTTCAGATCTTTTTTTTTCATATTCTTCTGCTATATATTTCTACCAGCATTGTTTATTCATTTAATTACTTTTTAAAAAAATCAAAGTATAACAATATCAATAATGACTTATCAGATTCAGAATAAAACATGCAGTGTTTTGATGAACAATGTCATACCTATCAAATTTATCTTCATTATATCATTGAAATATTGTGATATATTCTTACGTTGCCATTGAATTTATATTGAGTTTGCTATAATCAATATCTAGGTAGTGCACTTAATTATACTTGCTAAAAAATGACATGGAATAATACCAAACCATTTGAGAACTGAAAATGTGATATCATATTCTTTTCAGAACACCTACAATAAGATGGAGCTATCTGGCTACCAAGATTGCACAGGTTAGTGACTTTCCTGTACCTGACATTTACCTGATGGAAAACAGTCCTTGGACCTAAAAGCACTTATTAGCTGTCTTGCCTGTGTATATCTATATCACTTTATTTTCCCTTGTTATAAATCAGAGCCTATTTTGCTGCCTACTAAATCTGTGGTTTCTCTCAAGTACATCAAATTGCGTATTACAAGCCCAACATAAGATGCTGGCTTAGTCTAGCCTCCCACGATCTGGTGCCTTCCATGATTTGGTGCCCTCTAGATATGTTGAAATTAAAGCCAGATTTGGAACATCTGTATTACTTTGAAATTGGCAAAAAGAAAATGGTTCAGATTCTTCATTGAACAGTTTCTGAATCTTATTTCCAGAACCAGTTCTTCAGCATTCATTTTCAGAGTCCTCAGGATCTATAGAAATAGTACTAGAAAATGTTTAGAACCATCTTTGTTTTCAAAGCAACTATTTCTTTTGTGTTTGCTTCATTTCTTGAGTATGCTATATATTCAGTCAAGATCCTGAGAAAATGCACATAGTAATACTAACAAAGAGCTGGGGATCCATAGCTATTTTCCCGCGGCAAAGCTGAGGCATTTTAAAATAGAACATCGCCCCACTCCCATCCGTTCCGGCAATTTTGCTAGTCATATGTGGGAAGGGCCCCCTTAATAAGTAGACTTTCCTTCCTTTCCCATTTCTGGTTTTTTTTTTCTTCTTTCTTTAATCAATCCCCTTGGTTATTAACTCCTGTGGCAACTAAAATCATAGACAGTAACTCACTGTTGAGTCCACACCACCATTTGTTCATATGGGTCCAGACCACTAACATACATAGGGAAGGGTGATCAGAGGCATTCTTCCACGTTTTTCTTTTGCCTACTGAGAACGCTGAAGCTCCACCAGAGGCAACTTACAGGAAGCCTCCAGAATATGGAATTGTAGCCTAAGGCAACTGGAGAGGTTTAGGTTCTGTAAGACTATTGTGGAGGGATTTAAACAAGTCAGCAAAAGAAAAGCTTTAAAAGAAGCTCTAAAAGAAATAATTTTCTTTACTTATACAAGTATATTTTCTACCATTCTGCCTATATCTAGAACAATTAGATTCTAAGCAGCAGTAAAATAAATGAAGGTCACTTGAGGGAGATGGATGGTCAACGTTTTTGTTTTTTTTAATTTTCCCTATGATTCCTTCGAAATTTCTCTGATTGTCAAATGATTTTGGTTTTCCCTCTTGTGTAGATTCTTGGTTCATTTTTCTATGCTTATTACATATTTGTAAGACTCTGTATCCCAACATATCGGAATTATAGCTTGGAACACTTCAGTCTACGAGGACTAGTTCTTTGCATCTTCAACTCTATTCTTCCAGGTGAGCTCCTATTAATCAGCCTGTGGGTTTTTCCTTCAAAGCTTTTGAATGCAATGCAAATGTAGTATGTTAGATATGTGTTAGCAAATGACCTCTTTAGGATTAGAGGAAATAAGAGAAGACAAGCATTACTTCTTTTACAGGCATTTTGTACATTAGTCATGGGCAGCCCTATATTTTTCTAAAATAATGTGAATACAAATAAGCTTCTACATTTTTTTGCTGCTATCGTTTTCCTGCTTCTGGATATAGCATATCATGGTGCATCAACTTCTGCACCATTTTGTGCAGCAATTGGTGGCCAGAGATTTTGCATTGAGTGAACCTCTATTTGAAATTGTGTTTCAATTATATTTCTTTCCCAGAAGCATTTTGCAGTATTCCTTTTTTCATATTTCACAATCTCTCATTCTTTCTCCTGCTTTTATATTGACTTCTTCCTATAACAGCTTTCTTCTTAACACTTTTTTCTATCTCCTAATTGTTTCTGAGTTACTGTAAACTCCATTCTTGCTGTTTTTCTAAAAAAAAATTCCCCTGTTTCAAATATTCCCAGCCACTATATTTCCTTCTGCTTGGTCTATAGACACGCCTACGTATATGGTGGTGCTATGTGGATGGTTATGCAGAGGAGGTGGTCGTCACCATGGCTAGAAAATATAACAACTCTGAATTGACCACTAAGTAATCCTCTACTTGCCACTTGTCGAAGTGAACAATCTTCAAAGTGGATGTTTTAAAAATATAAAACATTTCCTTTTTTCTTATTGTTAAACTTTGTTCCAAACACCTAGTGGTCAACTTGTTCTGCCTGTTTCCTTTTCATCCTTTCTTCCATTTTGCACATTACAGTCTTGCCCTCAATCCCACTTTTCAAACATGCATTGATGCTGAGATGCTCTTGAAATCTATTCACTCAAATGCTGCCCCAGAAGGTAACTTCTTAAAAGTAATCCTTAAAAGTGACGGACCATACTTGTTGTTTTCATAGGTATCATTAGGATATTTAGAACACAGAACAGGCTAAAGGTGAAGCCTGTTTTTTTAACTTTAAGTTAAACTTAATTTGCTTTTTTTTCTTTAATGCTTATGTAGGTGTATTGATTTTGTTCCTGACCTTCTTTGCATTCCTTCATTGCTGGCTTAATGCTTTTGCTGAGGTGCTCCGCTTCGCTGACAGAATGTTTTATCAGGTAATTGAGGCTTTGTGCCTAGGGTGGGACTAGAACTTATAGGTTCCCAGTTTTTGGCTTAGTGCCTTAGCCACTAAACTGGTGTAAAGTTGCAGCATCTCTCAATTTAGAGATCTGAGATTATGTTTTAGGTGCTGTTCAAATATTTGAGAAGCAGCAGATCCTTGACATAACGGTCCTCAATTCTGAAGTTCATTCTCTCTTCTTTTTTACACCTTTTTAGGACTGGTGGAATTCTACATCTTTTTCAAACTATTACCGAACCTGGAATATCGTGGTACATGATTGGCTGTATTACTATGCCTACAGGGATTTTCTTTGGGTAAGCAGCAAACTTATAAGTAATTTACTAATTATGTTGATGCCAATTCTAAGTAACCACTTTAGGTAGATTTTCTCCAAGTTATTCTATCCCTGGGATTTTCTTTTTTTTTCTTTCTTTCTTTTTTTTTTATTTTTTTTTTTATTTTGAACACAAATAATACAAACATAATACATATAAATCTAAATACAAAAAGAGGAAAAATATACAAAAATTACAGTGTACCCACCCATCCACGGAGACCATTTTTCCCCCCCTTATATTTCTGGGATTTTCCTGATAAAATACAGAAGCGGTTTGCCTCCTTCTGATAGAATGAAATGATGGTTTTGCTATTGTCTCTGAGGCGATTGCCTACTCCAGGCTTCTTCCTGTATCACTTCTGCCCAATATAGGTGCCTACTTGCTTTAGCTGGCAGCTGGGATGATAGTCATGCTTTGGGTGACTCTGCTGGCAGTATGTAGTCTTGGTAGTCATTCCCAGTATTCCTCACTCATCACTCCCCAGGAACGCTCCCTGCCATAAGGAGGCAGTACACCTGTACATTTTGAATTTAATCATTTTCTTCTTCTGTGTTCTTATTTGATAGACACATGTATTTAAGTTAGGTATAAAAATTAATGGGAACTTTCTCTTCAGAGAAATATCATATATGTATTTATTTGTGCTATGTTTACACCACTATTTCTTCTAAAGGAGCCCATATTGGTAGAAAATGAATATGAAAAAAAATATCTGCATTTATAAATTTCTGTAGAAACTGCTAATAGGAAGTTTTGGATGATTTCCAGAAGCTGCACAAATATATTTTTAAAACTTTGGACATTGTTTCTCTTGTTTATCTGTCAACCTCAGTTCTTCGGGAAAAAATTCAAAGCAGTTGCTATGCTGTCAGTTTTCATGGTTTCTGCTGCAGTACATGAATATGTCATGGCTATTTGCTTGGGTTACCTATATCCAGTCATGTTCTCCATGTTCCTGTGTTTTGGAAGTAAGTATTAAATATATCCTTCAGCAGTATAGCAAAATGTTGAAAAAATAATAATTTGAATAATAAATGGCTAATTTGCAATATGTAATATGGTGAGGTTCCAGATGGCTACATTTGTAAACTCTGATCCAGAAGTCATCTCTGATCTCAGATCACATTCCTTCTTTTCTGGAGCCAGTTTTGAAGTGAGGGCGGAGTTGCTTGGTGGGAATATCTTAGAGTACTTATTGGAGAACCGATGGAGTGAGTAAAGCCTGTCCCTGATTTGCTGGGGAACATTGTGAGAGTAGAAGGGCAAAACAAAAAACAGAGTAGAGTGAAAGGTTCTCTCTTCCTCCTCTTAACAGCTGTGTGTTCTGCCTTTAATTTTCCCATATTGGAGTAAAAAATTCAAATTACATTGTTAATTTTGACAGACTAGCATTGTAATGTATTAAACATGTTTTATCATTGCAACAATGTTCTGGTGCATTTGGATCTAGAGGGGGGACTGGGGTTTACAATCTAAATGGTTGTTTCCTTCCTTCAGTGGTTTTCAACTTCATTCTCCATGACCAGCGGAAAAACCCCATTTTTAACATCATCATGTGGGCGTCCCTCTTCCTTGGCCATGGTGTCCTTATTTGCCTTTACGGGCAGGAGTTATATGCACGTCAGTATTGTCCCAAGGAAAATGTGAGTAATCTGTTTGTAATAAAAATAGGTTCAGTTACGATTCAGAGCCATGAATTTAGAGACAAGAACTACAAAAAATTATATATGCATTATGAATTTCTCAGCTGGCACTCCAGCTCTAGAAAAATTAAGACCATGCATTCTTGGGAGGTAGAGCAGGAAAGGAGCAAGGAACCACATGCGTATGGAAGTTAGTAATTTCTTCATTCTATTAACTTCTTAGACTCTTCACTAGCTTTAGGTTCCACTCAGTACATTAGGATTTTCACCATCTCTGTTGTGGTATGCTGTGCCAGAATACATCTCATAAGGGCATGTAACAATGAGACTGTGAGTGAGTGAAATGTCATTGTATAATCCCCAAGTCTGGTACCTGGACTGTAGAAGTTTGTAAAAGCCTCTGGACCCAGATAGATTTGCTGCTTTATCCTCATATAAGTTTACTGCTGTTCAATCTCAGATAGTGGAGCAGTTTCAAAACAGAGGGTTTGGATCTGAATTTGGATCTGAGGGAGAACTATTTGGAAGTGATGGCAATTTTGATTTCTCCTCCAAAAAGTCTGGAGAGTTTTATTAGCAAGGAGAGTCTTGTAGATTTATGAAAATCCTAGGGTTCTCTATAAATTTTTTGCATTCCCTGGTTACCAAATGAAAATATATCTGGGTTATTGTATGAGTAAATGTGGTTTATTGTATGGTGCTACACAAAGGCAAAGTATTCTATACTTTTTGCCTAACATTACTGTTCCTCTTGTGTCTTCTAGCCAACTTTTCTGGATTATGTGAAACCACGTTCCTGGTCTTGCCCTCTTAAGATATGAAGACCTCTGGGAGTTGTCTTTAGAACCAATATCAGAAGATGCTCTTTAGTCAAACAATAACAAATTGGGCCCAATGATATAAATGAGTTTAGCCTTTTTTAAAAAAGGAAATTGTATGTATTTCTGGAAAATGATGGCATTTGGGCACCCAAGGCAGCTAAACTTGTAGAAAGCCCAATAGATTATTCTCATTCCTAGTTATTCCAATATGAGCCATTTCCATGCTGGTTATGAAATCTGCAAAAAGGTTAGTGAAGAAATTTCTAGTTAAGTTTTGCCTATTGCAAATAGTTCTCTATGTAGTATTTCATTTACCCATTGTTTCCTTTAAAAAAGTAGTATTGTGTGATCTGGATAATAGTGACTATTTGCATAGGTCTTCTGTCAGAATCACTTGAAATGGGACATTTGAACAGTATTTGTACTACAGAATGAATGCTACTTTTGTCCAGAACCTGAGAAAAAAATAGATATGTCTGTCAACACTGGGCTTAGGGAAAAAATAAAGAACAGTTAAGGTACATTTACTATTTATTTTATTTCTTATACCATACCATAAAGGATTGCTGAAATATCTTACTGAGAGCCCTCTTTGGTGATGAGTCAAATATATCCCTCCCTTGTAAGTGAATGTATTAATGCCTGGTTTACTTCACCTGCCACAAGTGGGCTTTTCCTATAATAGTAATAATATAAATATGTCATTTCAACGGATGCAGCCATGCAACGGATGATAGTAAAAGTTATAATTTGGCCAAGGGTAAATAAAAGTTGGGCATGATCCAATACTGCTTTGAAGGGTAAAATTATTGTCTGTATGAATAATGTATTGTGAAAAATATGTCTAATGTTTTGCTTTGACATCCTTCAGTATTTTTCTTTTAAATTAAAGAAAGCCCAGTGTAATTGACTATACTGTCTAGTATTTCCTTTGATGCTTAGTTTCTTGATAATCTGACAACACAGAGTGGGCATTTACTACCAGGTTCATTTAGTTTTTAGTTTTTGAACTGTTAACATTGTAGGCTTATAGCAAAGTTATCAGGGATAGCCTTGTGGGTTCCATTAACATTCAGACTAGGACCAGTTTCTGCAATAATGATGTGTTCTACTGAAGATCACAGAGTTTAAAACAAAATGTGTTTAAAACTTTCTTTCTTTTTAGTTTAAGACCAATTTAAATGTGATATTATTAACCCAGTTAACAAGTGTATAAAACTATTTTCTTAAAAAAGAGGTTGCCATGAAAGGTAGGTTTTATATAATTTTCTCTTCCTTGTTATGATCCCAGTTTGAAGAATTTGGAAGGGAAGCTCTTTTTGTTTGCAATCATAGGCAGTTTTCCCCTCTATCGGTAAAAATTATCACAGCCAGCAGATTTTATGCATTAGATTCCTGTGAGCTAGTCTTTCTCAACTATGAGCATAATATCTTTATAATATCTTTTTTTACAAACATCATTAATATGTGGTCATATGCCCATTATTTTGGTCATATGCCCATTATTTTTACATTCTTTATTAATTATCACTGCAGTGATACAGAACATAATTAGTACTGAAGAACTGAGAAAAGCTCTGACTTGGAAAGCTTCAGTGTTCCAGTTAAAATAGCAGTTTGCTCAGTAAGATTCCTTTGAAAGTGATGAGATAATGAGAAAATTAAATAATAAAATAAAAAATAAAATAAAAATGAGGGGAAAAAAGTAATAATGAGATGATTAGGTATGGAACACCCTGAGACATATTTTTGCAAATATGACACATAATCACTATATTGGTAGTTGAAAGTTATATACCCTACTACAGGACTGATATATAGCCAGTAAATATTAGAGAACTCTGTTTCACTAGTCAGTGTAAACACAAGGCATTGGGGCTGTGACTCAAGTAAATAAAAAAGTTGGATATGGGGAAAATACAGTTTGTATATATTTCATGTCTTGCCTTAATTGATTCATGGTTCTCTAGTGCATTATAGATGCTAGTTATTCTCTTGTTTTGTCTAATTTTGTCAAACTCAACTTATACTGCACTTGTTTTCTGTAGTATAACTTTAATTACTTAAATGATTTGATCTAACCACAGAACACGAGAGTCAACTGTTTTTCAGGATAAAAGCAACTTCATAGTATTAAAAGGGCAACTGGAAGATTTTCATTGTGCAAAAATATTTTAAATACCCTTTATTTTCTGAAAATCAACAGACCCGTTTCAGTGCTCTGTTTAAAAAAAATTCTTAGATGACAAACTGAAAGGAACCTTGGAAGATTTTATATAAGATTTACTTGACTGATATAAATTAAACCATTAAATTATGTCATTTTAACAGAACTAGTTTCACACTGTAAGTTTTCACACTGAAACCAGCTTTTCCTAAAAAATTATTGTATATATTTAAGAATTGCTGGCATGGAATGCTTGTATTTATATTTGATAATTATGTTACTGTCAAATAACATTTACAGAAAGAATACTGAATTTGTTATTTTGAAATAAAACTTATGTTCTTCTAAGTTTGTTCTAATGTAAAAGTTTTGTTTCTCTTTAACCTTTAATCTTTCTTTAAAAGACACAAATTCAATTTTCTGTTTCCATCCTAAAGTCAAACTATAATATAATAGGATCTGCAATTAAAGAATACTGTATGAAGACAGATGGCGGATGGGAGATGAAGTGCCTGTATTTACAGTAATGATGCTGAAATGTATCAAAACTTGCTAACCACATATTTCAGCCCACAAGCATGAACATCTAGTGCAAGCCGTAATGACATCATAGGTCATGATATTACATACATGCTTCTCCTTTCCATTTGCAAACAGATGCCCATGTATGCTAGCCCAGCATTTGGAAGCAGTATTACTAAAGTTATCTACTGTGGATTGTGTTTAAGAAAACATTGGGTTTTGTGACATAAGATCTCTGCATGAAATGTTCAGTTTAATTAAAGGGAACACGTAGCTAGAAGGTTTTTGAATAATAAAAACATGTTAATTGATATTATCATGAAAAGTAGCTTGAAGTATGCCCAGAATCAAGTGCAATATTAACTTCACTATTCATTTGCAAATTCACTCAAACAACGGCCAGTTTTGGAAAAGAATAAGGAAGGAACTTGGACTAAATCAACTTTTTATGAAATCTTAGTTTCTCTCCCAATCATCATAGCAAAGAACATGTTGGTTGAGTTCTCACAATGTCAATCAGTATTTGTTTTATGTTATTTTTTGACTATAACAACCATGATTCAGCTGAACAAAAAAGGACAAAGACCATCCATATCTGACTTAGTCTGGTGCATGAACTAGTACATTTTCAAAAATACATTATTCAACTGTTATAGTGGTTTCTATATAAAGCTGTGAATATAAATTCAAAATGCCTGAATAATTGTGAATGGCATAAAAAGTTGTTCCTAAAACATTAACTTTCCATTCTTTAAGAACTTTTGGGTTGCATGAGCCTTGCCGTTGATACAAGAACAGCATTTAAAAGATTGTAACCTAGCTGCCATTATTAAAGTGCCAAATCTTATTTTCTTTGCAAGAGTACACATATCTTTTAGACTGAGTAGGAACTAATAAAATGGAAGAATTTATTGTTCAAGCAAGGTGGTTCAGACTTCTCCCTTGGAAGTAATGAAAAGGGTTATACCTTTGCTAGGGATAAGAGGAAATGGAATTCAATTTTCATCCATTGGATGGGTCAAAGAATATGATTTTGAAGCAGCTAGTTTTATTGACTGATTAGAAAATGTTGGTTAATTGTAAAATACTGTATATTGAACGTATCTTTGTGTCATGGACAAAAATTATACTGTGCTACAGAAACTTTGCTATCTGTGAAACATACCACCTTCATTTATATCCAAATACTTCATTCTAACATACTTCAAGTATGCTTATCTGTTAATATTTATTTGCAAGGTCATAAGTAGCACCTTCAATAAAAACACCTGGCTAATGGCCCTTATCCTTACAAGGTGTTGGAATTTTTTTTCTGCTGCAGTGCCTGGTATTATATGTGGGATTTGATTGGTTTGTGAGTCTCTTAAATAAAAATGTTCACATCTACAATAGAATAAAACAAGGAAAAATCAAATTAGTTAAATTATTTAATAATTGGGATTATCCAATGAGATACTGGTGTGTGTGTATGTGTGTATATACATACATACACACACACACATATACATACATACATGTTTTCTTAAGTTGTGTGTATATATAGATAGATATACACACAAATACAGAGAGAGTAGTTGTGTAATGAAACGTTTGCAAGCAAACAACCAAACTCGGAGAGTACAAAGAACTCCACACCTCGCTTGATTGCAAAGACAACTATGAAGTCAACCACTGGAACATTAAAATGCATACAAGTATTCTATCCGGAACCTCAAGACACTCATCCCAACAATACGTTAACGTTTCTGGATTGAGTTCCTTGTAAAAGTCCCCAAATCGGCGCCATTAACTATTCTTTAAGCATTAGCTCCTGCTGCTCCCTATTCCTGGTGCTCGCTGCATCTCTACGGCGCCTTACAGCAAACAAACAAACAAAGCGGCTCTCTTTAAAGAAATAAGGGAACCGAATGAAGCAAGCAGGAGCCGAGAAGCAGATGCTTCCAAGCGCCCTTGTGAGGTTCGGGGGAGGGGGAGTGTTCCTGGGCGGGGCGTTTGAGCCCACGCAAAAGGCGTCATAGGTTCCCATAGCAACAGCGGGCGTCAGGAAGCCGGAAGAAGTAAGTAAAGCAATGCCTCGAGCTGTTTTGTCTTCGCTCAGCCCGCTGCCAAATGGCTGAAGGGTTCTGTTGCGCGGTATTGCGGTTTTGGCCCTTTGAGATGGAGCCACGATGACTACTGTAGGCTCGCGCTGATGCCTCTAGTCCTTATGAAGCAATCGCTTGTACGCTCATTGCTTACTTGGGACGGAGTTTGGATAATGTTCAATCTTGGAAGTAGGGGAGGCGATCCCAGGAGAGGAAAATAGGTGCTGTCTTTCGCAGAGTTTTCTGATAATTCATAACATTCATAAAATGGCTCATTGAATGGTTCCAGATTTAGCTTTTTAAAAACGGGCAGATAATTAAATTGTTACAGGCTTCTCCCTTCGTTAAAAGTAATGGCATTTCAAAGCCATTGAGTTAATATGGAAGATAACCAGAGGTTTGCATGGTGATTAATAAGGCAATTAATATTACACTTCAAGTGTGATGTGACATAGATGATTTCAAAGCAATATTATACAGATTACATTTCAAATACACGAAAATGTAGCTGTGAAGTGTTGAAATGCACCATGTATTAACACAAAAAAATGAGTATACATTTTTTAAAAGCTAAATCTATTCATCAGTTATTAAGTGTGTCCATTTGTCTGATTCCCTTACTCAGCAGATGTGCTTGTTATTTGCTCTCCTTACTATTTGTGTTGTTGGGTTTGAATATTCAGATTAGTTCTCAGATTCTTAAATTTTTGAATGTGTTATTTTCAGAAATCCAGACTAAAGATTGCTTTGGGTTCAAGCCAAAAAAAAAAAAAAAAACACCTTAAAAAGACATTCATGATGGAGAGTAAAATGGTGGCATTCTTATTAACTAAGCTTTTTTAAAAAAATTAAATCAATTGATAGTCATTCAGTAAATAAAGTTCTACATCTGTGACTATTACAGTTTCTCAAATGCCCAAAAACAATTACTGCAGAAATCCTAGGTATTCCTAATAAAAATCCCTTTAATTAGGGTTTATTTTTTCCAATAGGTATTAGATTTGTGCAACAGCCTAAACATATTGGAACAGCCCTTTAGGACAGGAAAGGTTTTACTAATGCTTCATAAGAGGAAGTTTTATAGACTTACAGTAGGCTTACGTAACTTCAAGGCATTTAATTCCTGCTATTTGCAAACATGGCAGCATTAAAGAAAGAGAGTTGTTGGGGTTTTTGCCATCTTCCAAGATTTATTTCCCCAATTTCCTAATCTAGGCAACAATCCTAGAATTTTAGGTTGTTGTCTGGCATATATGGGAGACATCATGTTGGGAAGACTGCTGTAGATAACTCTTTCTCACCACAAGTGATAACACAAGTGTATTTTGTAGACTTACCCCAGGGGCATTAATGTAAAATACATGCTCTGTGTATATAGGTACTATACATTGAATCCTTAAGTACAGAATTCGAAGCTGAATACTGTCATTTTCAGTCATACCATCTATTCTTATTTTATCTATATATCTTGTAGATAACTTGCTTTTGCAAACAAGTCTCTTGATGAGAAAACCATCCCGAATCAATGTTTTATCATGTCTGATCAGAGGGAGCAAGTTCCAGCATTGCCTTCTACTTCAAAAGAAGAGAGCAAACAAGTCAAAGATATTAACTCCTTGATGCTTATTAGTGACAGCAGTAAAGGTAAATCTCACAAGTATTATTTAATGCTATTTTATATTATTTCATACACTACATTAGCTCTGCTGCTGATTTGGTTTTTTATGATTGGAATGTATTGTTTATTTCAAGTATCAAGTTATTGCTTATAGCTGTTGTTTTAATCCCTTTACAAAGCCCAGAATCATTGTTGTAAGATATAAATTTAAATAAAATGGTTGTTACAAATTGAGACAATTGTTTATTTGCTAACTATCTTCTCTGAAAAGTGCTAGAATAGGCCAAA